TTCGTCTTCGTGCACTGGCAGAGTTCTCAGCAAGATTGCTGCCTTTAGTCCTCTTAAATGCTGTCCTCACGTTTGGATACAGCCGTATTTCCTCCCTCTTGGGTTTTCATTGTGTGGTATTAAGAATAATTTGCAGCCTGCTTACAAAGGGGCTGCAGCGTAATGATGGGGACCTGTCCTCTAAAAGGTTGTGAGGCTGTGAAATCTCTGCATTGAACTCAGAGGAACGAGATATTTGGTGGAGTTATTTTCTTTCTTTTTTTTTTTTTAAAAAAAAAACAAAACCAAAAAAACCCAATAATAAATTAAAACCTTTCTTCCTGTAGCATTTCCAGTGTTGTCTTTTCCGCAGCTCATGTTCCAAAGAGCCCATTTTCCGTGTTTGTGCCTGGCGTGCCGTGGTTTTTTTGAGAATAACAAGTAGCATTAACGAAGTGGGTAGACCACGTACGCAGCGCACAAAGCGCTTTGCGGCCTCGTGGGTCGAAAGGTGTGTGACAGATGAGAGCTTTGAGCAGAAGCATGTGTGCATCCAGTTGCTAACTTCTAACTGGTGTTACTGCTTATGTGTGTCTGAATTATCTCCTATATTCTTGCTTTTTTTTAAATAATAGAATCATAGAATGGTTTAGGTTGGAAGGGACCTTGAAGATCATCGAGTTCCAACCCCTCTGCCATGGGCAGGGACACCTCCCACCAGACCAGGTTGCCCAAGGCCATGTCCAGCCTGGCCTTGAACATCTCCAGGGATGGGGCCTCAACAACCTCTCTGGGCAACCTGTGCCAGTGTCTTACCACCCTCAAAGTGAAAAACTTCTTCCTAATGTTTAATCTAAACCTGCCCTCTTCCAGTTTAAAGCCGTTTCCCCTCGTCCTGTCACTCCATGCCCCAGTAAAAAGTCCTTCCCCAGCTCTCCTGTAGCCCCTTTAGGTACTGGAAGGCGGCAATAAGATCTCCCCGGAGCCTTGTCTTCTCCAGGCTGAACAGCCCCAACTCTCTCAGCCTCTCCTCATAGGGGAGGTGCTCCAGCCCTCGGATCATCCTCGTGGCTCTCCTCTGGCCCCGCTCCAGCAGGTCCATGTCCTTCTTGTGTTGAGGACTCCAGAGCTGGATGCAGTACTCCAGGTGGGGTCTCAGGAGAGTGGAGCAGAGGGGCAGAATCCCCTCCCTTGACCTGCTGGCCACGCTTCTGATGCAGCCCAGGATACGGTTGGCCTTCTGGGCTGTGATCGCACATTGCCGGCTCATGTTGAGCTTCTTATCAATCAGCACCCCCAGGTCCTTCTCCTTAGGGCTGCTCTCCAGCCATTCCCTGCCCAGCCTGAATTTGTGCTTACAAATTATCTCATTCTGGGTGCTTCTAGTTGCTTGCCCCGTAACTTGCCCAAATTTAATTGACAAAAGTGTGTGTGAGAGAGGAAAAAAGCAGTTTGATCTCGCTGATGTTGATTACCCAAAACCTGATGTCATTCTCTGTTGTGACGTGTGATGACCTTACAGGGTCCGTTCTCATCTCACTCGTACCTGGCAGTGTGGCAAGAGCGTGTGAACCGTGAGTTTGGTTTGGGCCAGAGATGCCGTGTTTGGGATTACGCTACTGGGAAGAAACGGTCTCTGCAGTGGAGTCTGGTGTAAGCTGACACTGAAATGTGTTATCTGTTTATCGTGGTGCTATTTATAAAGTGGCACCGTATGGGCTCTCTGGGACATTGTTTTCATGAGCTTGTGCTAACTTACGCGGTGCCGATGCTCTTCTGTTCAGAGTGTCAGAGCTTCAGACAGCTACAGGACTGCGTGCTACTTGTGACGGGCCATTTTTCATTTCTGCCATGTCATTTAAATCCTTCTGGTGGATCTTTTGACACATATTCAGGTTCTTGGATAAATTTTGATTTAAGTAAAAAAAATCTGTTGAGCAGTAGAAACCACAGGAGTCATCTGTCATCCAACAACCCTTATCAGAGTTCAGTACCAGTAAGATGAAACAGCCTTTAGGTTTTAATTTCTACACAAGGATACGATATGGTGGATGGCACAGCTTCAGCTGTATTCGTCAGTGCCGGTTGTCCGTGTACTGCCACTCCGGCTGTTAATGAGCCGCGTCGCTGTAAACCTTCCGAGATGCTTTGGTTGAGTTTGCCGAGAAGACACTTACTTCACATACATGTTTGAATATATTTATTAAATGTTTTACCCAGCCTTTAACGGAGACATCGCTTTGTTGCTGGGTGTTATCTGTAAATTAAGAAATGTTGATTAATGAACATACTTAAAACAAGTATAGTACCTCTTTCCTTTCTCTTCCTTGTCGCTTAGCAACAGAATTTCTCCCTGTGCAATCCCCGCTACTTCAGGCGGACTGTATCCACAATATCCTCTCTAATTCTTCTCGCTTTTCCTTTCTCGAAGCCTTGCTAAAAGATTTGAGTAACTTCATCAACCCCTTGACAGACGTAATAAAGCAGAATAGGATAACATCAAATGATCGTTCACTTTGTCAGTGTAAACTCTGCTGAATTCATCAGAAGTCTGTTAAGCTTGTTAATGTTTATAATGAAAATTCCTCTCTTGTGAAGAAAAACAGCTGGGTTAGAAATTTAGGGCTTTTAGCTCCTTGAAACACATTTGGAGGATTTGTAGTGCTATAATACCTACTCATTTATGGATATCTTAATTGCACCAGACTTACTCTGTTTCCTAACCAATACGTAACTTCCACCACGATCTCGGTTTCTAAATTAATCAAATGTGGGGAATGTTGTGTTTGGTGTATAGGGAACCCCCTGAGCAAACATAAGTATCCACTGTTTGCCCCCAAAATTTGAGTGTCGCTGGTTTCCTTGTTTATTCCTTGGGTGCTCAAAGTGGTGGGAGTTCTGTAAACGCAAAAGAGTTTATATGCTGCTTCTGCATGGCACTAAGTGTTGGTTTTAATAGTTTAAATCTTGGATTATGCCTTTTAAAATCTATTCCAGTGCGAGAAACAAGCCTTCTGGAAATTAAAGAAGATATGGAACTGGATCCAGAGGAGAACAGCACTGTCTTCATGGGCATACTCATTAAAGGGCTGGCCAAGCTGAAAAAAATCCCTGAAACGGTGAAAGCCATCCAGGAGCGCTTAGAACAAGAACTCAAGCAGATTGTTAAGCGGTCCACAACCCAGGTGGCGGACAATGGTTACCAGAGAGGGGAGAATCTGTCCCAGGAAAATCAGCCTAGGTAAGGATATTTCAACCTCTGAACCTTGATTGCTGGGGAAAAAAAAAAAAAAAAATATCTGGAAAATGGTGTCGTATCTGTTATTTGCAATTTGAAGTAATGACAATCAGATTTCTGCTACTGCAAAAATATCAAGTGGCAAAGTTTTCAGAAATGCCTGTGTCTTACTGAAAGATGGATGTGTCTCCAGCACCTGAAAGGCTTGGGAATTTAAGAAATGTATTGAGAAAGGGGAGGCATTGTTGCTTCTCAGCTAAAGATGTGGGGAAGGGAGATGCTTCCTTCTGCGCTTGGCCCTAGAAGAGAATCTTTTGGCTGAACGGATGTTTGAAATGCAGATTTGAGGGTGGAAGCACAGTAGAAGCCAGCATTATTTAACTAGCAAGAGGTGCATAATGTTAAGCACTTGGTTTTTAGTTTATTTTTTTTAACCTAACCTTTTGTTTTAGGTGGCTTTATGCCAGATTGACTTGTAATGCTGTCTCAGATTGCTGGTATGTATGGTGTAAAGGATACTTGGTGCCAAAACAAATACTGTTGTCTTGTGTTGCACTGAATCATGGCTTTACACCGGTGCTGATGCCAAAGAAATCTTTAGGTTCCTACGTAACATGACTTGAAAAGAGAAGATTCAGCTCAGTTATTTATTCCAAGTGTAGCAGAGTCCAATTAAGCTGATGCAGGTGCAAAGCTTTGAAATCATATATGGAACTAATTATATCAGTAACTATATGGCCAAGTTTCTAATTGGTTTGCAGCCCCATTTCCATTATTAGCAAGGTGTGGAAGCCAACCGAGAACTGTTTCTGCCGTTCTTCAGGATTCACTGGAACTGTTCTTTGGAAAATAGGACTCCGTAAGGACTAGCTATCGCTTCTAGCTGAAATATTAACTTGTGATACCGCACATTGTAATGATCATTGTCCAAAGGGAATTAATGATGGAAAGGAAAAAGAAACAAACAAACAAAAAAATTGTTTATCTTCATTATATGTAACGTTTGTAGTGGAAAATCACTCCCAAGAAAAACTTCAGCTTGATAAAGACTTCTTTTTAATTCCTATCATTATCATTGCTGTGGCAACAATTATATTTTGAAGAATTCATAGAATTACAGTACTGATAACCTGGTGAAATTACAACAAGCTTTTTGAGTGGGTCAGAAGGCAGAACTTTAGTTTCTGATGTCAAGGTGGAGCGTGGCATATGCTTGATACTTGTTTTGTGAATCAGTCTTGAAGTTATATGACTACTGATTGTCCATTGAAATTGATAAATTGAATCCGATGATATTTTAATCACATTAACCTGCCCAGAGGGTTGGGTGAGGAGCAAAAAAGTTCAATTGATTTTTGGCATGTGTTTAGTGGGAGTTTGTGAGCCTTTAAGATGCTTATATTCTAGAGCTATGGAAAGTGTCTTGAATTCTTGTTGAATGAGGAGATAATTAGAACTGATTCTAAACCTAAATTGCATGTGAAGTTTACAGCAAGCAGGTGAATTCATTTATATTGAAAAGAATAAATTATAGTATGGAAAGGTATACCGCCCCTTAAATTAGCTACAGTTTTAAATCAAAACTAAGCGACTTCCCTGCTGTCAAGAAAAAAATAAATCTGAACAACAAGGTCTTCATATTTCAAGAGAGCTCTGTAAGACCCCAAATTTGAGCATGATGCCGCGCCCGAAACTGCTTAACTATTCATTAGGCTGTCAGCCACGATGCTTACTTGACCTCAGGATTCAGCGAGTAAAATGTTTTTCAGTTCACCTTAAAACTAGTCACACTTGGATGCCTCTTAGTCTTTATCAGTGAGCTCAGTGCCTGTATTCAGCTACTGTACTTTAAATGGTATCTGTAAAAATTCTCACTTCTGGCAAATAAAATGACTAATAAGGTGACAGAGAGGTCTGCGGGGTCTGAGGCCGTAGATTGAACCTTCTGCCGGACAGGTTCCCTGTGGCTCGCGCGGTACGCACAGAACAAGTTATATGCATTTCTTCATTGCTGTGTGGTGGCTCTCAAAGGCTGACTCTTATTCTTGCCGTATGAAAAGGGTGGCGTTTCCCTCCACTTGAGGATAAGGCTGATAATCTGCTTGTGGAGGTTCTAGTGTAATTCTTTTGGGGACCCTATATAAAAATTCTATTGAGCCCTCTCATTGTACAAGAGAGAGATAATTTCTTGAGCGTGACCAGAAGAGTTGTACGTCTCATAACAGCTGCTGAGTCTGAAGAGATCAGACACTGATCTTGCATTTTTCTTATTTTTTTTTTAAACCTGACTGCCTTTTGCCTCCTTGCCTAGTGTTCATCCCTGGAGGTATCTAAAAGATGTGTAGGTGTAGCGCTGAGGGACACGGCTTAGTGGTGTTTTTGGTAGTGTTAGGTTGATGGTTGGACTTGATGATCTCAAAGGTCTCTTCCAACCAAAACGATTCTATGATTCTATAAGCGTTTCCATATTGACTTGTGCCACCACCTTTTACATTTGTACACAAAACCATTATCAGTTGACCCCAAAGTTTTAAGATCAAGAATTCTTTTTGTGTTATGACTCTAAACTAACTAGCTCCCAGAGCATAATGATGTCTTTTATGCTTGTCTGGGTGCTCTCCTCATAGAACCAAGCAGCAGTGGGCTACTGGATCAGCTCTTCAGAGCTTCATGAAGTCTATTTTCTCATGTGGAAGACCTGTAGCCCCTCTAAGCTTCCAGGAGCAAGTCTTGTCTGTGTTATACAAGGTGTTATGCACCGGGCTTGTTAACAAGCACGTACACGAGCGTGAGCAGTGATTACAGTGTTGATAATGTGTGGCCAGTTCGTCATCGGTCCTTTGATTTTAAGCGCTTCATTTAGCTGAATAGAGAGTTGGTATGAAATCAGAAGGGCTCATTCACTGAAGATGACGCTAGCCTGCCTGAGGACCTTCGTGTAGTGGCAGAAGGATGTTTTTCACCAGTGGGGTCACAAAGAAAAGACTCTCATGGCTCTGTAATACAACTGATTTTCAGGTGCGACATGGATGCAGTCATGTAGGATAATGGACTTAGAATGGCCTAATGAGATGGGACATCTTTGGCTGTCAGACACTTTGCTATGGATAGAAACCCTCTTTACTAACATGTGCTTAGCCTCATGAAAAGTGAATGATATGAAGATAGTAAAACCTGTTTAAGGGCAGCAGCATGTTCCTAGTAGTTCCCTGTCACTGGTGGAAGAATTTTGAAAACGATGCTTGAATCTCACCTAGTTGCAGCTGACCTTGGCTTTAATTTGAGTGGCCTTTTTTTAAAGTCTAGGTAAGTTTTCTAAAATTTTTAGGTATCTGTTTGGAACAAGTTTATGAAAAAGGGCTTAAGCATAGTAATTGCGTTGACTTCTTGTTAATGAGAGGCTCAAAAGAGCGTGCTTAGTTCCTGCATGTTTAGAAATACATATCTTGGGTTGTGGAGGACAAGGTATCGTAGAAGAGGCCGTGTTGCGTTAGCTTAGAGTACTGCTATATTTTAATGAACGTGTGAGTCTCTCTGAATTATGGAAGGTTGTTGAATTTAGAATAATAGTCTAGACATGTGCCTACTTGAGGACTAGATTTATAGGAGAAGATTTTGGTAGGGATACGTTGCCATAGCTTTACTTTTAGTTGAAAATCAGCTCAGGAAGAGGTGTATTGACAATTTTGCTACTAAATCCTATCGATTGGATTCAATGCACTTTTCACTACATGTTCATAGTATATGAGGCTCTTTACCTCATCTCAAGGATTTAAAATAAATACAGAAATTATATACACGCTAACACCCTGACCAGGCAAAGGACGTTATTGCTGCTAAAACGCATGAGTTGTCATTAGAGACCTCATTCAGGTGTCAGCAGTCACTCTGCATCAATTCATTCTCTGTTATTTCCTGGACAATAGGAGATGCTTCCGTGTGTGTGTCACTGTCTCTCAACATATTTATCATATTTCTCGGTGAAGGGGTTATGAGATTGCTTTGAGAAATTGCCTAAGCCCGTCTCCTGTCATTCTCTCTATGCGTTCTGCTGAGGTCACTCAGTGCTGCAACCCCATATGCATAAAATCTAGGCCATATTATTTTATGCTGTTTTGTCTTGTTGGCTGTCTGACACGGACTGTGTCTGTGTCTCTTTTGGGTCACCTTGTTTCAAAAATGACCTGACAGATTTAGAAGACTTTTAGAGAAAAGAAAATTAAGATAAGAGGTGCTGACTAATTTGAAAACGGGGAGATGTGGAAAATATGATGTGGTTGAGAATGGAAGACGTGATGAGGTGGTAGTTAGCACCACTGAAGAATGTGGATGGGAGAGATTTTATGTCTATCAGTCTGTGACGTGAGAGTAGGAAGACACTGGAATTTAAAACCAAATAATTCTGTTTAGTATAATACTATTTTAGTGATGTCTCCATAAACAAGTTGTAATGTGAGGTCAGGCTCATCTAGGGACAAGAAAAATGAATTTGTCAAACTATGCAGCTAGTTTGGTTCTGCAAAATTGTACTTTCCTGGGGCAACAAGGAGGTGTATGGATAACTAAATTTTCAATAGTAACGGGGTTTTAGCGGAAGTTGGGCTTGCACTGATACATTTTCTCAGTGGCACGTAATTAATTTGCTCCCATAATCTTATCTTTTTTGTGATTTCAAGCAAGGCTGTATGTATGGTCCTCCAACATAACGTTCCTCCTGTATCCAAATTCTTCTACATCTGGTTTTCCTCCTATTTTTGTCTGGCTTCTGGCTGACGAGCCCCTTGCCCTACCTGCCTCTCTGTCACTTGCTATGAGAAGTTCTGTATATCTCTTAGGGGCTGTCAAAGCAATATTTGCCTCTCCCATGTCCTAGAGTGGACTGGAGAAGACACTTGCTTAGCAGTGATGGAGGGTGTTTTTGAGGCAGCCTCATCTGCGTATTGCCCTGTCCCCTTCACTGATAACGTCGGTGATGGGCTAACAGTAGTTAGGGAAGGAGGGAGATGGTCCTTCCACTGTAGCACCTTCTCAGTTTCACTTGGACAGAGTAGTTATTAAGCTTTATACAAAGCCTAAACGGAGGAGGAGAATGGCTTTTCTTCCACACTGGACTTTCCCATATTGAAAATGTGATGCTGTTACTGTTGAGAATAGGTGTCTCTTCTGGTGCTGTCTTTACCATCACATCCTGCATACTTCTGTCTATCCCCTGCCAGCATCTTACCTACATTTGTAAAGACCTGTAAAAAAGCAGTGTTTGCTCTCTTAGTACCAACAACACTCTTCTTTAGGCACCTGTTGCTATTCTTTAGAACAAGAGGAAATGGCTTCAAGTTGCACCAAGGGAAGTTTAGATTGGATATTCGGAAGAATTTCTTTACTGAAAGGGTCATCAGGCACTGGAACGCGTTACCCAGGGCAGTGGTGGAGTCCCCATCCCTGGAGGTATTTAAGGGTCGTGTAGATATAGTGCTCAGGGACATGGTTTAGTGGTGGGCTGGTCAGTGTTGGGTTAATGATTGGACTGGATGGTCTTACAGGTCTTTTCCAATCTAGGAGATTCTGTGATTAAGTATGAAGAAAACTGATATACACACCACTTCCTTTGGGGTTACTTAAATACCTGTCTTAATGCCATACGTTCAGTGAATATAGAACTAATAATGTCTCTGTGGTTCTTATGAGTACCATGACTCCTAAACACATCTTTATTTTTAGTATGACATACATCTGGCCCCTTGACCTCTTCTGCTCCGTCCTCGCTGTACCTTCCCAGACTTATCCAATGGCTCGTTCTGTTGAATCGAGGTGCTCTTCTGCTGGACCATTTGAGCAGTTGTAGTTGACATCGCTGGTAGGTGGATGGCCCATGTGAGATCCCAAGGAGATTGCTGTGTAACGCTGTGCGTGTGGATCGAGCTATGTAGAACTGTAGTATGTGAATGAGACACAGTAAGCTGATAGCATGTTTTGTAAACAATAGCCAGGTTCTATCCTTTGCAGGCTAGAAGTTCAATCTAGGATTGCTGGAGGGTGAGGTAGGTGGTTTTAGCCACAACATCATGCCAGGCCGCTCACTGCCTGGTGGTAACAGCAGCAAATGTGCAACAGCTTCCTGAGTACTCCATTTAACTCTCCAGCTGCCAGCTTAAACAACTGATGAAAGTGGAGGTATGCAGATAGTCAGCACTCTGAAATTAAGTGGCCGAGGCATGAACACACAGAATCAGAGAATCCCAGAATGGTGGGGGTTGAAAAGGGACCTCTGAAGCTCCCCCAGTCCCACCCCCTGCCAGAGCAGGGGCACCTCCAGCAGTGGCACAGAACGGCGTCCAGGCGGGTTTGGAATGACTCCAGAGTGGGAGACTCCCCCACCTCTCTGGGCAGCCTCTGCCACTGCTCTGCCACCCTCAAAGGAAAGAAGTTCCTCCTCAGGTTTAGATAGAACTTCCCATGTTCAAGTTTGTGCCCGTTACCTCTTGTTCTAAGTAAGTTTTACTTACTGCAAGCCCAGGAGACCCTGTGTGACGCTGTGTTTCCTACCCTTCCCCAAAAAACCCCAATATGTGCAGCATTCCCAAAGCCTCTGGAGGACCGTGGGTTGACCCTGTACTGGTTGTCCACCTTCTCCCCAGCCTCTTGCAGGTAGATGCTGGGGGACAGCCAAACCTCACTGCTATCCCCAACCCAGGGAACGTGGGCCGTGGACGTGGCTCACCCCCAGCACGGCACAGGCTTGATGCACCCCAGGATGCCATTGGCCTTCTTGGCCACCAGGGCACATTGCTGGCTCATGGTCATCCTGTTGTCCACCAGGACTCCTCGGTCCCTTTCCACGGCCCCCAACCTGTACTGATGCATGGGGTTATTCCTTATAAGTTTTTTCTCTGCCCAACTCTCTGACCTGTCCAGGTCACGCTGTATGGTGGCACAGCCTTCCGACGTGTCAGCCACTCCTCCCAGTTTTGTGTCATCAGCAAACTTGGTGGTGGTACACTCTATCCCTTCATCCGGGTCATTGATGAATATATTGAATAGGACTGGACCCAGTACTGACCCCTGTGGGACACCACTCGTTACACACCTCGTTAGCGATTGTTAACTGACACAGAAGACTGAAGTGTGGCAGTTAAGGAGTGGGTGCAGCTCTGATTCTGCCGCAGGTCTTCTGTCCCGCTCTGGAGATCGCAACTTCTGATGAGAAGATGCAGCAAGCATGTGGTAACTCCTAAGCTGCTGCAGTTAAATGTGATGGAGCCTGTCTGTCAGAGCTAGAAGTGCCGAACATATGGATTTGGGAAGTGTTATCTTCACATTTTGTTGGGGTTACATGTGTACTTGAATTGCTCATTAAACGGCAGTGAACTTGATCACAATTTTTCTTTTCTCAAATAATAAAAAAATGTGATGAGTTGTTGCCTTATCACAAAATATTTAGGACTTTGCAAAGGTACATTAATGACAATCATTGGGCAGTAAGGATGCCAGAGGAGCAGGTGAAGTGTAGTACATTTAGATGAGGTTATGCTGTAGCACCTTCCTTAGAATAGTAAAATCTTGATAACTGACGCAGTTGTTGAGGCTTGATGTTTAATGTTTCTGATCTTTCCTGTTGTTTAAAACCTGCCATACTACTCATTTCATAATTCAAAATGAGTATCTTGTACTCTGTTTGTATGGGTAAGTCAATTTTTATTGACTTGAGATGCTTGCTTTTTTCTGGGGAAAAGCAGATAGTCTCCATCCTGGTCTGCAGCTGTAGCTGGGAACTTAAAATGGTCTCTGATATCATGGTGCTGAAGTGTAGTTACTAATCATAGAATCACAGAATGGTTTAGGCTGGAAGGGACCTTGAAGATCATCGAGTTCCAACCCCCCTGCCCTGGGCAGGGACACCTCCCACCAGCCCAGGTTGTTCCAAGCCCCGTCCAGCCTGGCCTTGAACACCTCCAGGGATGGGGCAGCCACAGCTCCTCTGGGCAACCTGCACCAGGGGCTCGTCGCCCTCACAGCAAAGAATTTCTTCCTATTATCTAATCTAAATCTCCCCTCTTCCAGTCTGAAGCCATTCACCCTCATCCTATCACTACATGCCCCTGTAAAAAGTCCCTCTCCAGCTTTCTTGCAGGTGCCCTTCAGATACTGGAAAGCTGCTATAAGGTCTCCTCAAAAACCTTCTCCAAGTTGAACACCCCCAACTCTCTCAGCCTGTCTTCATAGCAGAAGTGCTCCAGCCCTCTGACCATCTTCATGGCCTCCTCTGGCCCCACTCCAACAGGTCCATGTCCTAATACATTTGTGTTTCCCGTAGCCCCAAGTAGAACACATTAAAATTGAACAACTCTGACAGAGAGGAGGGAGTGAGAAGGAAGATCCTCAGAAGTATTTAGGTACCAAAGCTGAGCTGCTGACAGCTGACGTTAGTCACCCGAAGCCCACAGAGAGGGTTTGAAGCTAGGTGACCTCCCTGCTTACACGCAGCGTCTGTCACAAAGCAGGGTATATGAAGTCACACTCTTCTGAGTCGTGGCCCACTGCTCTGATGTGCTCCATGACACTGTGCCTATGGTGTCTTCTGGAAACTCACTGAAGGTGGTCTTCATGGTTTGCAGGTTACTGCTGGAACTGCTAGAGCTTCTCTTTGACAAGTTCAACGCTGTGGCTGCTGCGCACTCTGTTGTCCTTGGACACCTTCAGCAAACAGTGGCCTCTCCTTGCAGCCAGTACGATGGTGATATCAAGCTGTATGACATGGTTGATGTGTGGGTGAAGATCCAAGATGTCTTGCAGGTAAGAATCCGTCGGGTGGGCACATTTTCAGTTTGAAACAGCTTTTCTGACCAGAATCCCAGAGAATACCGGTCATATTCAAGAGGCAGCTGTGCCGGAATTTGTCTTGATTTTTGGTAAGTGGCTACATTCATAACAGATTGTTTAACTCCAGAGAGTTTAAATATCAGCAAAACAATTTCTGTGGCTTCATCCTTACGGTGTATGGAAAGGTTGATTCCTTTTGCCTACCAAGTGATTTATCGGAAGCTTTCAAACAGTGACATTTTTGTTCTGTGTTACCATGTCATGCCTGTCTTATAAAGTGTCACAGCTCTAATCGCTTGTCTTCTCTTGTCATTATGGTTTGGTTATAGTCAGCTGAGACACTTGCTGCCAGCATGTTTTCAGGGAATTCTGATTTGATTCTTTTTCTCGACTGTAGTGTACTAAAGCTGTACCTTGCTTAGGCTTTATTCTGGTACCACGCCTGTCACCTTGGTATCTGAGACTCGCAGGCAGCAGACCTATCATCTGTCACATGTCTGCTCTCTCATTCTTGCTGTGAGGCTAACACATGCACATTAGAGGGTTTTATTTTTTTTTTTTTGGAATTGCCTTTATATATAGTACGCAGATGTACACCTCACCCAGTATTTGATAGAGGAGGTCAAAGAAATGAGCCCGGCATTATTTACAAGAGGTGGTAAGATTTATGATGGTCATTCCACCTCTGGCCAGTTCTTGAAAAATGCTCTCTGCCTCGTACACTAACATGCTTTTTCATTGTAGGGCACAGGTCTATTTAGCTGTTGCTCTAAAGGCTTGTTTGACTGTGCAGTGGTGCACACAGGTTTCTTTGCTCACACAAATAGGGCCAACTGTGTATAGTGTGAATTTAGAGACTTCTTGGACATGGTAAATATAAGGCATGGGCCTTTGATCATGTCTGCTCTCTCCTTGCCCACTTATTTGTCTTTATAGTGGAGTTAGTATTTTTATTAAAGAAATCCTGGTCAGTTTTCTCCATGATACAAATTTTCACTTTCGGTGTTGTTCTTGCGAAAATTTGATTGGAAATGTACAGCCAGAGGTTAATGATGGGTTTTCTAAACGAAAGTCATAGGGCTGAAGCTATCTTGTCTCGTTTAAAGGGAAAAATTGAAGTGAAGGACATGAAGAATGGGCTTAACATGGGATACCTCCAGCCATCTTACTGTCATCCAGGAGGGTGAGGAAAAACTTTAAGAGCTTTGAGTTCTGCAGACATTACTCCAGGACGACAAAGCCTTGGGAGTGAGAATCCTCTTAAGATTTTACCGTCGGTGAAGCAGAATGACAAGGCTGGTAATTCCCCCTATCAGTGAGAGTTTGACGGTTTCATTCCTCAGGAGTGGTGAAATTGGGAGTGAGTTGTACTGGCTATTCCAAAACAACATCCCTAAAACTTCTGTAGGGCAGCATGCATAGGTGTGCACATATAGAGAGTGAAAGTGCTTTCCCTGTTGGGGAGAGAATATTTGACCAAGCTTTCTACAAAATGCATGCCAAGAAAAATATAATCCACTAGTAAAGGTTGGTTGCTATTAGCCCGACAGCACGGGTGACGGAGGGAGTCAGAAAAGCTTCCAAAAGAGCTTTTTTAATGCATAAAAGCAGCACTTTCAAGATCCATAATCTCTTGCTGGTTTAGGGTAAGAGATGAGCATTGACTGACATGGAAAGTAGGAAATCTTCCTATTCTTTGCCCAAAATCTTGTGTTTTTTCGGTATGTTAGTCTCATAGGAGTGGATTAATTTTTTTTTTTTCACTTTACAGTATAATAAAACCTTTGAGCCCAAGACTAAATTATTTCTATCCTGTTTTTTTCCAAATAAGGATAATTTTTTGAGAGGAGATCTTAGTTTGTGGCAGGGGGAGCAGAAAACTCAGTTTTAGAAGTGTTTATTTAAAAGTGCCTGCTGTGGGGGGAGGATGAAAATTTGGAGGAAGTGGGTTCGCGGCGGGGTGCATCAGGGAAACCGTGCAATTCCTGCAGATCCTAATGAATGAAGTTTATTCATCGCGCTAGAACAATATCACGCGACTCTGCAATTCACGTGGATAATCTTTTGCACGTGTACATTGTGCATCTCTGCATGTGAAATGCGTTAACGGTGAGGCTATCTCTTTATAGTTCTGTACAAAAGTAATAATGTGCGCTCACGGTGGGCTGGAAATTGTCCTTTGTGGGAAATGAGAGAGTTGTTTTCAGCAGCTTTTTTTTGTAGCTCAATTTCTGAATGCTTCCTAATAACCGCACCGAGCAGCGATGTAGTCTTAGATAGGTCGCACAGTGTTGTGCAATGTTTCGATACTGAACATGCAGATATGATATATTTTTGACCTTCTTTGAGAACAGAGGAATAATACCGAACTCGTCAGGAGGAAGGCAGAGTGACCTTTTAGAGGTGGGTACTCGAGTGCTAGAAAGCAAGCACACAAACAAATCAGTTTGTCAAAATATTAGAGCAGCCTTGTTCAGGGAAACACGGTTTGCAGTTATTTACTTGTACCGGAGCCAGCGTAGCCTGTAGTCCTATTGCCGTACCAACAGGAGAGATTTGAAACTTGTTTAAATTTTAACTTGGCATTTTGTGCATGGAGCTAATTTAGCTCTTCAGTGTAAGAGTGGGTGGAATATCCTTCTGAAGAGCGTAATTACCATAGGACCAAGTACTCGGCTGGAGAGAACTGCGAGCTGCGTTGCAACGGCAGTTAACTATTCACGTCGATACGTCGCTGCTTCAGGACAATGCACTGAAGGAATTCTGCGTTTTTCTGGCATGATGCAGTGTATCTGCTGCATCATCCCATCCCAAATGATGAAGGCTGTGCTGCGTGAAAGGCACGGTGGTGTACGTACTTGGGTAAAAGGCAGAAGGTTTTGGGTGCAGTGTAGTCTTTCTGCGTCATTTTAGTTTTTCAGTCTCGGCCAAATCTGTGTAGCCCAGATAAGGGCTTTTCTGTCCTGTTGTATTAGTGTCAGGGACCGACAGCGGGCGGACACGCTACCACAGTCACTCACACTCAGTGTGATGGTTCTTCCTCACTGTTATCTATGGCGCAGAGCTTTGAACAGTTCAGTCACCTTTTTTTTGCACCGTCTTTTGATGCTACGTTGAGAGAGGCATCTGTCCCTGCTGAATAATACCAGTGCTCATTCAGCTCCTTCAGAAATGTCACCTTCCCAGTGACAGGATGATCACCCTGTCGGTTGTTCTGTCTCACTGCAGTACCCCGCTGCTGGAGAAAATACCAATGACATCTCCACGTGTGCTCAGTATCCTGTTATCAGCTTCGGCTGGTGCTATTTGCCCCCCAGGAAGGGATCTTCACTCCTTTTGTAGCGCTAGTATTTGTAGTTGATGGATCTCAGTTTTTTTGAGAGTGGTGTATATCTATTTTCTTGCTTCTACTGAAGAGAGGGAAAATCACGTATATGCTGTGGGACATGTATCTTTAGCAGGATGTCTGGTGCTCTATCTACTGAGAAGACACTGACAATTACTACTTTCCTTTTTTGAGGTCTTCTGTCTAATGCTTTTGGGTGTTTTCCAAAAATGGTGTGATTTAGCAGCCAAAACATTGCTGAAACACCGTAAGGAAACTGGGGCAAGAGAAATTGAAGCCTACTCTCTGCCCACACACTACTGTTCGGCTACTGCAGAGCTGGAGTTAACAGAAACTGTTGATTGAGAACGCCTCTCTCTTTGTGTGTGATGCTCCTACATCCAGAGGCTGTGACATATCTCTCCTTACAAAGAGGAATGCCACAGGGCTGCGGGCTTTGAGCAGGGAGGTGGAGCGGTTCTGCAGTACCCAGCGAGGTCTGGTGGCCAGCAACGTGAGCGATCACGCTGAAAAGCTGCGCTTAAATTGTATTTGCTATGCCGTACTTCTCCGGGAGTGCTGCTGGAGCACTCGGAGATGTATTTCGCGGCTGTGCTGCTGCGAGCTACGCCACTCTGAGCTTTTGTAAGCGAATTAATGGCAAAAATTATTGGTCCTCTTAGGCACACGGGTGAGCAGAGGAAAGACGGTGGAGTTCAGCAGTCTTAGTGCTCAATTTACCCCACTACATCCTCGTGGAAAAGGTGTAGAGGGTTCAACTTCATACCAGTCTGTGCAGATCTAAGCCAGCTGTGTTGTGATCCCATTTCTTCCTCCTCCGCGGCCCAGGATGCTTTCCTTGGGCTGGCAGCGTTGCTCATTTTCCCGACAGTAATCTAATTTGAAGGAGTTGATTTGGCCAAGTAGTTTCTGCTGGCTGCGGTTTATGCTTGCTCAGGTCCTTGAACTGTGTCAGTGTTGGCACAGGAGCGAGCGAGAGGGAACGCACCGCGAAGAAGGAAAGCGAAGGGTTTATCCTGGCAGCTGCCGTGTTCATCAGCCTAAGCCGCTGCGCGGAGCGGCACCTCAGGGTACCCGCTCAGGCAAAAACAAAGTGGGTTTTGCTCTTGCCCTGTGTGGCTCAGCACAGGTCCGACAGCCCTTCCAAATAGTTACTAAAATGGCTTGTGATTTTAAGAGTGGGAGCTTAGGAGTGATGTTCTCGTGAGCTCTGAACCTCTCCGCAGTCGGGATGCTGTCTGACTCCGCAGTTTAATTTGTGTCCTGGAATAGGTACCTAAATCTCTTTTTGCTGAACCTTTCCGTTTAAAGGATGAATGAACTATTCATGACACAGTTAATACTTGTAAAGTAAAACAAGATTCTTGGATGAGAGGTGTTGGTGTTAATATGCCATAAATTCTGGTTGAAATGTCAGAGCAGTATTTGAAATTGCTGTTGCATTTGGGAAGATGAGGTCTGGTGAGGCCGCATCTGGAGTACTGCGTCCAGTTCTGGGCTCCCCAGTTCAAGAAGGACGGGGAACTACTGGAGAGAGTCCGGCGGAGGGCTATGAAGATGATCAAGGGACTGGAGCATCTCTCTGCTGAGGAAAGGCTGAGAGCCCTGGGGCTGTTCAGTCTGGAGA